AGTACGTGTTTTTCCCTGCCACGGGGGTGACCCTCCCGGGGGCTCAGTTGATGACATTCGCGGCGGCCTACAGCCACAAGCAACAGTTCTGGCGACGCTACAAGATGAGGTTTCCCCCTGAGATCCACCCAGCCGACACCACGATCTCGAGGGTGGCCAGGGAAATGCAGAAGCGCATGCTCTGCGTCTTTCAGGCAAACAAAGAGTCATCGACAACGGCGACACTGGAGGACAGTCAGCATTGTCGTCTGACTCCAACAAGCTCACCTTGTGCAGTCCTGTGCGGCCAGCGCAGCACATCAGCCTAGTGATGCATCGATGGTCGGAGGAGGACATTGCCGATTTTTGTTTGCATGACGCCTGCAAGAAGATCTACCCTCAGCCTATCGGTACTGCCCCATGTCACAGCAGGAGAGTTTAGGCTGCGTGGTGGTATTGGTTCCATCACGAATGGCAGACCCCTGCATATCAAGTCTATGCAGGTCTACTTTTTAGGCTTCCGCTGGCAGTCACTTCCTTTAACAGATTTTCCCGACTGTTGGAGGCACTGACCCGGCGATTTTGCCAAGTTTTGACATCACTACACTTCGACGATGCCACCATCACAGATGTACGTTCAGCCAAAGGCTCAGGCCAATGGGCAATGAACCAGCTATGTCTGATGATTGGATCCCCCGCCGAAGACAAGAAGCAAACTATGCAGAGCACGGGCACCTTCCTGGGATTGACCCATGACCTCACCAGCATCAACAAGACAGGTCATGTTCGTTTTTGGGCACGAGACCGACTCCATGACAAAGTTCGTGACATCTTGGCCACAGCAAGGGGCACAGGCCACTTCAGCCGAGGTACAGCCTCGAAGCTGTATGGTCTTTCCAACTTCCTGGAACAGGGTATCTATGGCCGCGTGGGATATGGAGGCCTTATGGCCATCAAGGCACGGCAAGACGAGAACACCACGGCCATGACCCCGGAGATTGAATCTTGCTTCGAGGTGATCGAAGCTGTGATGCGCTTTCAGCCAAAACGGGAATTTCCCGTTCTTCGCCTGGAGCACCTTCGCTTTCTGGCAGCATCGGATGCAGCTGTTGAAGCAGACAATCCAGGATCAGGTGGTTTCCACCTCATATTTTTCCAACCTGATGGGTCACAAATCCGTCACAGTTTTGTTGCAACCAATTGCGCAGAGCTCCAGAGCCTATGGCAACCTGCAGAGACCCATATCGCCCAGCTGGAGCTTTCGATGGTGCTCTACGCTTTAGTCGAGCGACCTGACCTTTTCCGACACCGACATGGTCTTTGGTTTCTGGACAATGTTGCGGCCGTCATGACACTATAGAGGACGTTCCAGCAATGCAGACTTAGCAAAGCTAGTTCATTTGATCCACTTAGCCCTGTTTGCACTGCGAGCCCCGGGTTACTGGGAGTACGTCCGGAGCAAAAGCAACTGGGCCGATGACATCAGTCGACTGGGTGTCGATGATCCGTGGTGGCGCTGCCATGGATTTGAGTTTCATTCGTCGTACCTCCCTACCATCTTTTTCCAGCTGCCTTTCGTCGCAGTCATCCTCACCTTTGAATTCCTTTAGTGCTTTGGGAAACTTTAGTGCATTGGGTGATACCTGCAAGAGCAGGTTCCAACCTGGAGGATCCAGGTAGCTGACCAGTGGTGAAACTGGTCTGAGGCTATGTACGTGTCACACAGTGACTACCCAAAGCAAACCTGAGGATTGCGGAGTTCATATGGCACTTTGAGATGTACCCATGCATTGAATTTGGCAGGCTTGGGTGTGCATGTATCATCTTTAAGTGATTCAATGAATGCTATCATTTTGGCTCAAGGGAGTTGACCCAAAATAGCATTCATTGCTTTTTTCTTTCCCCACCCACCCAACCCTAAGAGCCGACCTCCCGTGGAGATGTCCGCCTAGGTTAAGGGGGCCTGCGTGGCAGGCGAGTATATAGCCTCTATCGGGGACAAGACTCTCTTTTCCTCCCTTAGGTTAAGGGACGGGTGATACCTGCAAGAGCAGGTTCCAACCTGGAGGATCCAGGTAGCTGACCAGTGGTGAAACTGGTCTGAGGCTATGTACATGTCACACAGTGACTACCCAAAGCAAACCTGAGGATTGCAGGTGAAACTGACTCAACATTGGCAGAGCTGTGAAAAAGAGAAGCGCAAGCGTGCGAGTGGTACGGAGTTCATATGGCACTTTGAGATGTATATATATATATATTATGTATATAACTCATGAGTATGGTTATATGTATATATATATATACACATTGTATTTGATAGTATTTACATATGCATGCATGCATACATATATACATTTACTATAAATGTGTATATATATATATATATTGTATGGAATTTGCACTTTCTTTTGTATATTGTATATGTTCAATATTTATATTTGTATTACCCATTTGTTTAATTACATATAGTAATATGTATATATATATATGTATATATTTTTGTGGCCCAGCGTTTGGTGGTCCCCCTCTCCCCCCCGAGACGGTGATGGTTCCTATATGTATATGAAATATATATATATATACACATCTACACACACATATATATATATATACACATACGTATATACATACATATACGTATACATATTTAAACATGTCTATATATATATATACATATACATATATTTATACATATAGTGTATATATATATATATATATGTAGTGTATGTATATATGCACATATATGTACAATGTATACGTATGTAGTATGTGTATGTGCAAATGTATATAGTATGTCTATGTATGTTTATACCTGTGGATGTGGTGGGGGGGTGGGGGGGGAACCGCCCCATACCATATGGGGTGGGGGGAGCGTGAACACGAGACACGGGACCCTCTGGTAATTTAACATAGCTATTGAAAATGACAATTTATAGTGGATTTACCCATTGAAAATGGTGATTTTCCATAGTTATGCTAGCTTACCAGAGGGTATACATACATGTAATCACTGGAGTCAGGTACATATATATATATATTTATGTGAATGTGTACATCTGCAATATGTAATAAGATTATGTCGCATGCACGTTTTTGCAGGCATTTTTTGTTGATGCGTCTTGGGTAACTTGGAACCTGCCAACGGCCAGCATTGTGGCACAACGGTCACTATGCCAAGGCTGCCGAGGCGCCCTGCAGTCCTGCAGTTTGGCATCATGCCACCAAGAGCAATGGTGTCTGAGTCTTCGGATGGCGGAAAAAAAGGGGGTCCCCAACGGTTCAGTCCATTGTTCAACACAAACATGCCACACTTTGTGCCCTAAAATGCCATGGCGATTCAGCCGATGGATCGCCATGGATCACCATGACTGCAGAAACCTCCATATGAGAAGATAACAAACACAATGAGCAAGGTTCACAGACACATACGGTACCATTTTAGTTTTATTCACGGGGTTTTTGATTCCCTGGGGCATGCCTTCCTTGGACTTGTTTCTTTATGGGGTTGATCCACCCTTTGAAATCAGACAAGGTTTGCTGAAATTCCATGTTCAAGTCCCATGTTCAACTGACAAATCATCCATAAAACCATCTTTGATTCCCAGTTCACCGAAAACATCACTCAGTAAATCCATGCAAATCCATTCTGTATTCTGTATCCCGTCTCCAAATCAATCCTGGGTAACTGCGTGCGGTTAAACTCGCCAGGATCAAGGAATGCTTGCCGCCACCATCTTCAGAGACCTTGATTTTGATGTGCGGCCCGTTGCAGAGCCCAGCGGATGAATCGATGAAAAAAATATGATGGTGGGTTGATTTTCGTGGCTAATGAACACATGGTGGCGGCGAATGAGACAAAAACAGTCACTAGTCACTAGCCGCGAATGTATACATGAGATGTTTTTGATACTTCATGATCTCAGTAAGAAATGAATAGAATAGAAATGATAGTTACATATAGTTACTGTAATACACAGAATGATCATGTTGCAACTGGATGAAATCTTCTATGAACTCACGGTCTCACGGTGACATCCGCAGATCGAGGCCACCCATGGTGGACTTTGCCTGCAAAAAGAACCTGCAGGCGTGGTAGATGCCACCTGAGCATGTTTTTTAAAAAATATGTAAAACTGGGATGTTGTAAAACTGGGTATTACTCAGATTTTGATACTGATTTATTCTGATTTTACTAATTACTTGGGATCACTTGGGACTATTTATTGCTGAATGTTGCCGTTTTAATTGTTACATCCAGGCAGAACGGATCCAATTTTGATCCAGAAAGGTTCCAGGAACCCATGGGATTTTACTACCAGCTTCTATGGAGATGTGGTAATTTTTCCTGTAAAGGAATGATGCATCTTTCTCTCTCTCTCTCTCTACATCATATATACAGTATTATAATATATATATACATACATATATATATATATGGGTTCGGTGAGTTTTCCCGGCCCCAAGGGTATTATGATTAGGGTTGGTTATCGTCATTTTTTATTAAAATGGAAAACGTACTGAGCCCATGTGTATGTCAGTATGTGGTGTATCATGATATGATGTCTCATGCGTTTGCTTCACAATTAGGCTTCTTGTCTCAATCTGCTTTCATATCACTGATGCCTCAACACAACATGTTTACAAGCACACCATTGTTTATAAACATTTTGTTTTAGATAAAAACAAAAAACAAACAAAAATGTCCGAACCAGTTTGCAGAATATTGTTTTTTTGGTTTATAGAGATTTGCCAGATAACAGGACGTATTTGCTAGATGACAGAAAGCATTTGTAGATGAGGCTCCATGCCAACAGTGCCGATGCACTACTGTCTGACAAAGGATGGAAATTATTTTAGAGGAATGCATTTTTTTGCAGAAACTTCTCCATTGGAAATCATAATATTCCTTGAAGTTTAGCAGCATTCCTTTCGAGAAATATATGCCCTTTTCAGATTTCAAGATGGCTGCTTCTATTGGAAACTGCATTCATCTTTGAAGTTTTTTGGGGAAAAACTATTCATTACCAAGGGAAACACAGTCGGCCGCCAAGCAACAGCTTGTACCTTTTTTCAGGCCTCAGGTCTTGAGCCAAATGCCCAGTTGCATTCGGCGGGTGCTTGTCATCCATGTGCGTGTCATCCTTGCTAGCAGGGGCCTCAAGGCATGGAGCTGCCAGCTGGAGACATCTGTACTATCTTTGAAAAAAGGGGTGGTTATGTGCTTAACTGTTTCACAGCTCGCACTCCCCCCACTCCAGTGCCCCAGCCCTGGAGTGCTACAAACTCAAAAATTTCTCAGACCTCCTCTATGACGCTCCATTCGCCGCTAGTTTCCTCGGCATTGGCGGGAGGTCGCGGGGTCTGAGAACCAGCCTGTACAACTACTCGGCTCCTCTCAGCAGCGCCTCCTCGGCGGTAGCCCCAGCGCAGAACAGCGCCAGAAGCAGCAGCCGCAGCCGTAGAGCTCGAAGGTCCCGCAGCAGCATTCGAGGTAGAGCTCGAAGGTTCCGCCGCAGCATTCGAGGTAGAGCTCGAAGTCGTTGTAGGCCCAAAAGGTTCCTGAGTTGGCACATACGGTAAAGGACCATCTTCCCCCGCATGGTAGCGAGGTACCTGTCCGATACCGTCCTGGTTTCCCTCCAGGTTCTTCAGCTTGAAGAACGTGAAGCCCCTCCAAGACTCCTTGGTGGGAAAGAGATCCTTAGGTCCATCCGACCATCGATCTCGGTGGACAGTCCTTCGACCGTCCGGTCCAAAGGCTACGGTCACCCGCAGCGCTTCCAAGCAGTTGGGGTCGAACGGAACACCACGGTGCAGCGGGTGGAACCTTCGCTCTCGCATGGTTCCATGTTTTCTCATCACCCAGCCCTTCAGCTGTGGCGTCCATCCATCCTTCTTTCCCGAGGGCGGCTGTTGGAACTCAGCACGTTCCCAGGGTTCCCCTTCATCGGCTTGGCCTTCTTCTCCCTGCTGACGTCGACCATGACCTTCATCTCGGCCAGTGCTGCACGGCATCCTCAGCGCGGCCAGCTTCAAGGCAGGTGCAGGAGGATCTGGTGGTGGATCACGCGGTCCCCTTTCGATGACCGGCAACCTCTCGATCTCCTCTTTTTTCTTTTTCTTTTTCTTCTCCTTTTTCTCACGATCCTTGTCGGATCGATCTTCTGATTGTTCCTTCTCCGAAGGAACTTCTGGCGGCACTTGCTCCTCAGGCTCTTCTGCGGACCCAGCTGGGCCTCCCGTCCACTCTTCGTGCTCTTCGGACCGATCCGGTGAAGATGGCACAATCACCATTGGCTCACCCTCAGGAGTGTAGTACCCCCATTCCACAGTCCTTCGGCCAAAACCTCGCACGGAGTAGGACACCAAATGCCCAGGAAGATTCATCGAGCTTCTGGAGCTTGAAGGTCCGTCATCTGTTGTCGGCCCAGCATCCGTAGTCGGTCCAACATCTATCGTCGGGCCAGCATCCGTAGTCGGTCCAACATCTGTTGTCGGCCCAGCAGCTGTTGCCGTAGAGCCCGCCGTTGAAGAAGTCCTCGGCGGATTCTTTGGTTCCGGGGGCCTGAAGCTACCATGTTCAGCAGCATCAACCAAGGGGTATAGCGGTGGTGTGGTAGGCACCGCTTCTCCCAAGATCACCACTGGCGTTCCTGGAGCAGCTTCCGGAGCTTCAGGCGCTTCAGTTGGCTCTCGGTCCCCTCTATTTCCTCTCCACTTTCCCCAGTCATCTTCGGTGTCTGCTGAAGGTTCGGAGCGGGTCTCAGCAGGTACTGCGACGGGGGTTGGCTCCTCCTTTTTGGCTCTCTTGAAGGACTCCAACTGATCCTCCGCAGTTTCCCCTTCACCTTCATGTCGGTGCCCCTTGCCCTTCTTCTTCTTCTTTTTTTTCTTCTTCGAAGGCTCCGGCTCATAGTCGCCCTTCACCCAGGACTTGTCCGGCCGATCTTCGTCAGGTTCATCTCCTCCAACTCCACCACCAGTCGTGCTTGCCATGGCGTCGCACAAACGCAATGCGCAAGCTCTGAACGACCCGGGGCAGCCCTCAGGGCAGTGGTTAGAACCCGAAACAACGAAAAGAAGGGGTTCAGAACAAGGTTCTGCTGCACCGCCACTCTCAGTACTAGCCACGCGACTCCCAAAAGCGTCAAAACTGGGTTTACTATCCCCCAAACCTTTTTGGGTTCCCAAACCAAAACTCTTAGGGGGTTCCCTTCCCAAAACCTTGGTTCCTTCGGGGTTTTCGGGGGTCAGCCCTTGTGTTGAACCGGGTTCATTTTCCCTCGGAACAACTTCTACCTTCCTTAGGGTCGGTTCATTTTGACAAGACCTCTTGAAAGTCTTGTCGGCCAATGGCTCTTGTTTGTTTTTCCTCGTTGATCATCTCATCCAAGGTACCTAGAGCTTCCAAGATTGAAGAAAGGTCGTCTAAAGACTGTTGATTTAACCCTGGCCAGTCCGGATTCTCCAATCTCTTCAGCCGTACAACCAATGACATCACCACCAAAGTGAAAACCACAGCTACAAAAGCCTTGACCTTTTCGGTCACCTCACCTACGATGGGCACATTGACCCATTTTTTCAAGGAAGAAACTACCGTAGCGGCCTTCACCTTGAGCTCGTCAGCGGTCTCCGTCTCGCGCCATTCCAACTCGGCACCAGCGACCACATCAGGCAAGAAGTCTTGGTTCTCAGGCTCTCGGTCACCGACCTCAGTGTTCCTTAGTGGTTCATCCTCAGCCACCGGGTCACATCGGGATTTGTGGGTACCCAAAAATTTCCAAAACCTCTCCCAAGCCCCTTTAGCTACTATAGGTTTGGTTAGGTAGTCCGCTATGAGTTCCGTCCCCTTGAGGTGTCGGATCTTCCAGTCTCCCTTTTCGGAGCGGAGTTTTTCCTTAAGACAGTTGGACCGAAGTCTCAAATGTCTGGTTCTCCAGGGCCCGTCGGGCTGCTGTAGTATTGATATGGCAGACGTGTTGTCACCATATAATACTTTTTCAAACTGCTGTGAACCATATATCACTTGCAGCAAAGCCTCTACCGACTGAACCATCACCATAGCTTCCACGTACCCGACCAGCTCACTCTCAGCTGTGGACAACGTGGCAAAAGCTTGTCTTGTTGCTTCCCACAAGAGCGGTGCTCCGCCCACACAGGTGAGAATCCCCTGCAGGCTCCTTTCTCCCTGTGGTGCAAAACTGATGTCACTGAAGGATTCTATCAGTTTTTCGTGCCTAGGGATCGGCAAGTTGCCTTCCGGCCCCCTGTCGCCCTGCCTTCCTTCGTACATCAATCCCAAGTCAGGAGTTCCAGCCAAGTACTCCAAGATTCCTTGACCCACCTGAACCGCCCACCGCGGTCGCTTGGATACCTGACGTCCCATCTGCGCCACGGCAAAGCTCAGATCTGGTCGGCTCCGTGTAGCAAGCCAGAGTAGTTCCCCCGTCAGTGCCTGAGCAGCCTTGATTTCTTCCGCAGTCACGGATTCCTCCAAGGCCTCTGGCACCTCTATCCTGGACATTGGCACGGCCTTTTTGATTTTCACCCCATGTCTCTGCAGGAGATCTCTGGTGTAAGAAGGCTGTGCTACCTGGAGGCGATTTTCATCCGCCCACTTCAGCTCGAAACCGCAAAACCGGACCCATTTCTGGTCATCCACATGTTCCGGGGCAGAAATTTTCCACTCCTGCTCTACCCTGTTCAGGAAACCAAGTCGCACTGACCGTTCAGCCCACACCATTAGATCGTCCACATAGACAATGATGTGTCCCACGCATTCCGGCTCAGTTGCTTCTTCACGGCCTTCTTCCGCAGCCTTAACCTTCCAAATCTTCCAGAGATTTGCTTCCTCCGTCGGGCGAAGGTAAAACATCCATTCACCTTCCAGCCATTGAAAGGTTTTCATTGTTCGATCTCTGTGCGCTGACCAATGCGCCGGGCTCGAGGTGAACCCGTAAAGCGCTTTGTGCACTCTCCACCTTTCGGTGGCCGGGATTACTCCCGCTTGTATCATCACCTTTGGCGGTACGACTATGACCTCTCGTCCACCTTCAGGCTTTGGACGTGGTGCGAGCAGAAATGCTGTGCGTATATCGGTGACGGATGCACCCCAGTTCCGTTGGACTCCATGGTTGATCACAGCTCGGATCATTGTTCCATCCGCCCCTGAAGCGTAGGCTCCACTGGGCGCTGGATCCCAGGCACTGTCCAGCAAGTTTCCACAGATCACTGCTCTGCACTTTTCCGTCCACCATTTTTCCCCGCCTTGCGTACGCACACCAGTTTTCCTGGGACGTACTCAACCTGCTCATCTTCCAGGTCGCAAACCGACACCGGCTCGATGGCTTGAGTCTCCTTCACAAGGCTATTGTATTCCCCCTGCATTGCAGGAGTCCAAGCGGCCAAATCCCTTCTGACTTCTTCCAGTGCCACTGTGGTGGACTGAAGAACTTCTTCCTGATCCCCTTCACCATTCTTCGGGATCCCCTCAGTTCTCAGTCCGCACAGTCGAATCATGTCCGCCTTTTGCAGTTTTGACAACACTTGGAGCATTTCTTCCAGCTCCAGGCGATCTTGAAGCATGTAACGTAGCTGTTTTCCGTATTCCAGTCCCTCCTGTTCACTCGTTGGGACCCGTCTCAATGCTTCACTCAAACCCATCAGAAGCCGATTGTGGCTTCCCAACAGAACCCCTTCCGCTTGTTCCTTGCGGATTTTTCTCACTATAATTTTTTCCAAGTCAGGCACATTCAGCGCCGAAAGAGACTCCCCCCGGAGGCAACCTCCGGAAGCTCGAGTGCCGAGACCCTCCCCCCAGAGGCAACCTCCGGGAGCTCGAGGTCTGCAGTGTCTTCAGGGCCCAAACTAGGAGAGTAAGGCGCATCCGCTGGCAACTCGGCTGGTAAGAAGCCTAATTGCGCTGGTGCCTCCCCCGTTTGTTCAAAGTCATCCCTGTTGACGGTTGAGTCTACAACAACCTGTTGAACAGGACCATAAGCTTCGCGGTCTGGCAAAGCGATCCCTGACCGACTGGATGGCGGCTGTTTGCCCACGAGCCTTCGTCGTGAGGGTTCCGCTACCGCTCCATTGTCATCTTGTTCTTCCAGTTGCGACAAATCAGCCGATTCTTCCCGCAATTCCATGGCCACCTGCTCTCCCAGGGATGCAGGCAAAATGGCCTCTCTTACATGGAGCACCTGCCCAGCTTCCGACCGCACGACCCAACCTTGACTCATATTGGGGCTAGCAGCCAGAAGCGTGGCATTGACATACGGAGGAGCAAGTACTCCAGGGGAATGCCATCGTTTCCTTTTCACAACCACAGAGGCACCATACGGAAGCATGGGCATCATGGTGACGCCCAGAACCCTCATTCTCTCTTCAGCTGAGTACCGGAGAGCGGTGGGCCACTCATCGTTTGTAAACCCAGCATTCCGCAGGTAAAGCCTAGTTCTGCGTTTCAGTTGGTTGATTTCCGCTTCGACATGACCATTATTGGCGGGGTCATCGCCACCACCAAAGGTATGTCTGAGACCATTTTTTGCACACCAGGCAGCTGTTTGCCTACCAATCAGTTCTTTGGCCCGATCGGAGTGGAGACGATTCACATTGATGCCATATGACTTCATACGAACCACCAATTGTGATAGCGCGTTGAGCACTACGGTGGTAGATCGCGACTGAACCGGTTCTACCATTGTCACATGTTTGAGTTTCAGAGGTCGGCTGCACTTGCTGATCTCCTCATCAACCCAGTCACCTGTCTTCTCAGGGGATGCCTCCCCCCCATTTTCAGGGTCAGCCCCCGGAGCATTGGCTGGATCAGGGGACGCCTTTGCAACTTCGTCGCCGAGCTCTGGTGACCCAGATTCTTCTTCTCCCTCCAATGGGAACTCAGATTCCCCCAAACCCTCCCCCCAATCTGGCGCTTCCACCACTTCCGTGGGCAGCTCTTGGAGCGGAGGTTGGTGATCCTCATCGAATACCGGAACTAAGGCGGTGGCTACCACCGCATATTTGACCTGATCCCCAGAAATGGAATCTTTTGTTTCCCCAAACAGAACCACATCTACTCCAAGTGACCATGCCGAGGTTCCAGAATACATTCGCCGGCGATGGGGTGGTCCTGCCGCCATATCTAGCACACAAGCACGACAGTCGCGCCTGTACGGTCGATGGCCTTGAAGGATGTGAGTCCTCCATTCTTGACGGCTCAAAGCCTTTTTCAACTGGTTGTCCGCTAATCCACATTGGTGGATCAACAGGTTCAGAGACACCCTCAGGGCGTGTTTGAGTCCTGGGGCCCATGCAGACCAGTCATCGGTCTGTTTGACCCTCTCTGGAATTTCTGGATGCAAGACCTTTCCCTGCGGTCTTTCACAGCGCGCTTGATCCAGGTCCTCCAACAGCGGAAGATTGGACAAGCAAGAGGTTGGTTTCACCCTCTCATGTCCGTACCGACCCTGATCAAACGATATCAACCGCATGTCAGGTTGTTCTAGGAGTTGAGTGACTTCCGGCCATACCCAAAAGGTTGGAGAGTTCGCTTCATTTGCCCACACGGCAGGGTCTTCCGGCGACTCCAAAAAGAATCCCACCCTCGGATTGTCATCCGTTTTGGATTCCTCGGCCAGCCGGTGTAACCCAACCTGTTTTAGCAGAAGAGCACTGTCTCCATCCACCTTGTGTTGTTCTTGGTCGCTCAGCCCTGGGAGTCCGAACCTGTGCTCACACCGATCTCTCAGTGGTCGCGGTCCGGGCTGAAGTGCTCGTAAGCCATTCACTGTCCGACATGGCGGGCCGCCAATGATTGCCACGATTGGGTGTGTTCGCACCACATGTGCGAGAAAGGCCCAAACCTCTGGTCGGTGAAGATTCTGTTGATCACTGTCGGCCGTGTCGACCGTGAGTATTTCGATTCCAGGAGGCCATCCCTTCTGCCACTCTCGAGCAGACTGCCTCGAGCCTGCAAATAAATGGATTATAACCCCCTTCGCCTTCCGCAGGCGCTTGCGCACTCGGCGGTTCCACGGTAGGGTTTCTCCCTTTGGCATTCCAGCATTCTGCCCCACCATGAATTCCAAAACTGAATCCGGAACATCCGGGTACCTTTGATTCCACCATTGACGCTCTTCCGCCGAAAGCTGCCCCGCGGCCAGCTTCGGACCCAATCTCTTGAACCTTTCTTGGTCCTCAATCTCTTTGATGAGTTGAAGCGCATGTTGCTTCCTCACTACCGGACATCCATTTCTCAACCAACAAGAGATGCGACCCACCTCTGGATGTGAGATGACACACCCCCGCGAATCCCATCGGATTTTGTAGCCCAACGCCACAACACCCCGTAGCGGAACAATCGGTTCCACTTCGGTGGGCGAAAGCAGCACTCCGGTAGACATGTTCTGGTACAACTGGACAGATCCAGTTGCCAGCTCCACGTCAACCAATGTTGCCGCTTCGATCTCTTCCTTGGACCCCTTTCTCAACGGGTTGGTAGCCCCACCATCCAGAAGACCGGTCTCAATCATCTCGCTGGCAGCCTTACACAAGGCCCCCTTGGCACAGATGGTCTTCATGACCGGCACGATCACCTTCAAAACGGATTTGCAATCCTGCACCATATCGTCCACACCCTCCTTGTCTTCCAACGGTTTAGTCGGAGTACCTTCTTCACGGTACGTGGTGTGACGACTTGGCTCAGCCTTCACTGCAGTTTCCGCACCGCCCTTGGCAGCGGATGCAGAACTACTGGCATGATCCTTTTCAACCTTTGTCTTGGCAATCTTCTTTTTCCCCACCGGGCAATCCTTCTTAGAATGCCCCACAGCGGAACACTTGAAACAGCGGTTGTCCTTCGGATTCAATACCGAGTGAACATACCGACATTGGTCCGCCTTGCGGCAGCCGTTCTCAGTGCCCCAAAATTTGCACGCCATTGACGACGTAACTGATCCCGCATTAGCCGCTGTGATGCCTGACCCCCCAGCTGGTTTCCCAGCCTTGTCGCCTTGGTCAGCACCATCATGCTGAGCTTTGTTCGCTGGAGCGCCCGGGCTTGGTCCATTCAACGACTTAACGTTGACCTTCCCGCCCCCACTCTTTGAGGTAGGTTGGCCCAGTCCCAGGCCTTGAGAATTCACATTCATCTCTTCGGCCTCCGCTTGGAGGTGTTCTGAGTACGACATGACCGTGTCCTTTGTGGGTTGGTGATCCACATTGAGTTGTTGGCGTATCATGTTCAAACGATATGCCACCTGTGGTGACTTCTGGCTCAAAAAGTCCGAAGCCCGCTGCAGAGCTCCAACCAAAACCAACGCATCAGGCAGAGTCACCCCCAATTCAGAGGCTCGGTTCACATTTCTTCTCCAGTGTCGGATACCTTCCAACACTTCGGTCATGGTTTCTCCAAACATCCCAATAGATCAGGTTAGGTTACTTTCTGCCTAAAAGGTAATTCCTTACCTTAAGCAAAAATATAACCTTAAAGGTAAAATCTAAATAACCTAAAAAAGGCATTTGTTTAACCTAACAAAAAATTAATTACCCTTTTTTTAGGTATTTTTTAAAACTTATTTTTACCTTAAAAATGTAAGTTTTTCATTGTTTGTTTTTCAATTTTTAGCTGAGATGAATGTGGGAAAAAGCAATGGACCAATGGCATTCCAAACAACTTCGGCTCCAAGTCCATGAAAAACCAAGCAGTCCTATGAGCAAAAGTAATCCTATTCCTACAAGTAATCCTAATCCCAACAGTAATCCTATGACCAGAGTTTCCACAGCAAGCCATTCTGGATCTGGACTTGTTTTCCAACTCACAGCATGCCTGCTGTGCAAGAGCTTGTTCAAGTCACGACAGCCCTGCCTTTGCATCACTTCATTGATTTTCCTTCCCAATAGATCAGGTTCGACAATTTTCTGCCTAATAGTTAATCGTTAATTTCCTAACTATTTTAAGTTAATTTTGCTACCTTCAAAATTATCAATTTAGTTAATTTCTTTTAACTATTTTTAACTATTTTTGAACTATTTCACTATTGTTTAACTATTTAAAACTATTTTTTAACTATGTTTTAACTATTTTTCATTATTTTTAAAATATTTTAAACATATTTATAACTATTTGTGATTTATATTTGAAGCTATTTGTTGATATTGTTGAAACATGTTTCCATAGGGAAAAATGAAAAACTATATAAAGAAAACATTTTTTTCTAGGATTACTGCATGGGTTTCTGTATAGGATTACTAAAGCCACAATACCACAGATCAATTCACATGCAAGCAACATTACAATCCACAACAAGACAACAGCCAACAAACGAATCATTGTTCAAAATATTCTCTTGTTGTCTTTTCTGTTGTTTGAAGCACATGTGTCTTTTTGTTTTGGTCTTTGTCCTGCTTGCTGGGGTTGATTTCAATGTAGCCTTCTTCTTGGGATTAACCCTTGCTTGGGCCTTTCCTTTGCTTGTTGCCTTTGGCTTTTGCTTTTGGATCTGGCTCACTTGCGCCAGATTCCAGGGCAAGTAGTTTTGTCTTTTGGTTTGCAATCTCTTCCTGGCTTTCTGCTGCCTCTATTCCTGTTGGCTCAGCTACTGTTGCATTTGCTTCCCCTGGTTCAATTGCTGAAATGGCAATTTGTAGGTAGGTGGCTTCAGGCTAGAGGCTGGTTTATTCCTTCCCATGTCTTTGGTGCAGCTCCTTGGGTTGAGAGGGTTGGCAAAAGGGTGAGACTAAAAGTGTGAGAGAATTTGGCGACATTGTGGTACCATATTGCAGGTGTAATATGCTTCCTTAGTCACATAATATGTATTTATATATTTTCGTGTATAAATAAATACATTTGTGTGTGTCTGTTTGGGTGTGTGTTTCTTGTTTTTGTGCTTAAGGTTTATCTATCTACCTACCTACCTACCTACCTACCTATCTATCTATCTATCTATCTATCTATATGTATATATATTTGTTTAAATACAAACCATCATTTGGTGGCACCATCAAACTCATGTGTTTTCACTAATCCACCATGAAAATTGAACCACAGCACATGGAAAAGAACAGAGAATAATATGGATTTTTGTTTGGTTTCATGTGCTTGAAGAAATTGCCACAACTTCTCTGAGCCAAGCGTAGGGAAAGCAAACCACACATCAAACAGAAAACTACAGCCACAACCAAAACCCAAACAAACGGAGCAAAGAAATGTTCTTTTGGCATGATTTACCTTGCCCAAGTGGATGCAAAACAACCCAACACCAAAACAAATGCAGCAAAGTAATCCTGATTTTTTTTTGCCATGGCTTACCTTACCCAAGTGAATGAAACCCAATCCAAAACCAAAACAAATGCAGCAAAGTAATCCGAATGCAATGGCAGTGGTTATTCACACTGCTGAAGGATTGTTTCTTTCGACTTTCAGTGGAAAAGGTATGGTATACATCCTTTCTGTCTCTTTTTTTCTTCTTAGTGTTGTACATGAACTGATGCTCTGAGAAGCGTGTGGTTTGCAGTGGTGTCTGTGGAATGGTTTGCAGCAGGGTTTGATTATAAAGACCTGTAACTGAAAAAGCACCCAATCATTAACAATATTGGATTTGGATTTGGAACAGGTAGCCCGCCAAAACAAGCGCTACCGGGCCCGCACTTCCCCCCCGGCCGAAGCTTGGGGAAATCATTAACAACAAGACATATGAGACTAATGGAGAATAATTTCTTATGTATAGAAACCTGCCTGTTGGCATGAGCCGCTTGGCTGATTGCGCATTTTCCCATTATGATGTCGTTTTTTCTGTTTGAGTAACATTTTGATACCCTGCATGTCTGGGTCACATGAAGTGGTTTTCACTTTCATGGATTATCCAAATATGCCTAAATAACATCTATTTTTGGATACTGGACTATCTTCATGTCATTGATATGGATTGGGGTTGAAAGTTCCTTTGCCAGGCCATGACATTGGGAGAAGTGATAGCTGGACAGTAGAAACCATTTTTTGTAAAGGTAAAAAAATAAAATATATGTAAATCCTATAAATGATCAATCATTTTTGATAAAAATCATCAAGTGTTCAGGAACTTTAGGAAAACATCTGATGAGGTGTGGATAAACTAATCAACAATTATTTCAGTTATTCCCATTTGTTTCGGATATATATATATATATGTATTTTTTTGATCAGATTTATTTTTAATGGCTAAAATACAATTTTTTTTTGGTTTCTAATGTGCAGGTATGGTGTGTTTTTTCCAGTGTCATGGCCTGACACTGGAACCTTCAGCTCCACTCATCATGAATGACATTCATGAAACAGAGTATCCAAACAACTATTCTTACTCAGTGAGTTTCCTTGCCAACAAAATTTAAAGTTTTGACCAGGAAATCAAGTGACTTAAACATCCATGGGATCAACATGTTAGATTTTCTCCAAACTCTTGGGTGCCCCAAGTGTCCATTTTTTCTTAAATAATGGTTTTATATAAATATAACATATATATATATATACATACAGGCAACTATACATATATAGAATTTAACTATGCGGTACATTAAGCAAAACCACTGTTTACTATTTTTCACCTACTTTTTTAAAATGGGAACACACCCAAATTAAATAACTAATCCACCGCTAATCCAGTGAAATAGCCAAAAATATATTGTACATTGAAACTATTCACCAACTTGATGTTTAGCATTGAGCCCTTGTTTAGATATAAGTCTTTAGTCAAACCCTGCAAAGACCTCGTCCATGAGAAAAAAATGGAATTTGCCAAATGAATGCAGGTGTGTTTGAACTAAAGATTCAACTTCTTTTGGTGGGAAACCAATGCCAATTTCAATGTGGTATGAAAGTTTGATTGAAAGTTTGCAGTCAAACTTTCATACCCCCCTGAAAGTTTACATTGAAAGTTTCAGTGAAAGTTTCAGGGCCCCTTGAAAGTTTCAACTGAAACTTTCAACCCTGCATTTTGGCTACAATTGTAATTTAAATTAGGTTGAAAGTTTCATTGAAACTTTCATTGCAAAATTTCAAGGGGGTATGAAAGTTTGATTGAAACTTTCAGTGCAAACTTTCAAGGGGGTATGAAAGTTTGACTGCAAACTTTCAACCAAACTTTCAGGGGGGTATGAAAGTTTGACTGCAAATGTTCAATCAAAGTTTCAAGGGGTATGCAAGTTTGACTGCACAATTTCAATCAAAGTTTCAAGGGGTATGCAAGTTTGACTGCAAATGTTCAACCAAACTTTCAATGCAATCCAAAAAAAACATCAAAGATGTTCAAAAATGTTTGTTGTTTTTGTTTGAAACCAAAGCAATCCACCAAGATTTGTACAAGTTTTTCCTCATAACAATGCTCAAATGTTTTTTTTGGTTGATCAAATAAACCCACCAGGGTTTGCATATGTGGTTCTCATGAGAGTAATCCTACGGCAGCAAAGTAATCCTACAGCAAGAAACCAGTTCTGTTTCAAGTTTGAAAACAAATCATGATCAAAGTAATCCTACAGACCAAAGTAACCCTAGGAACCTAGAAAATATGTAATTCCATCTCAGGAGTGGTTAGGATTACTTTGTTGCTTGGGAAACAAACTAGAAATACTTGGAGGTGTCATGGGACTAAGTTTTGGATTCCTTTTCTTCATTGGTTAGGATTACTTTCTTGCTTGGGAAACACCCTAGGATTACTTGGTGGTGTCATGGGACTAAGTTTGGGATTACTTTTGTCTCCTGGGTTTTTTTTTAAGATTATTGTTGAGCCCAAAGGGGAATGTCTCTTTGCGTTTCCACTGGCTTGCTCAAGGAAATTTTGCAATAGCAACCACAATGTTGGCAAACAATGTGCATATATTTGTCTTGCGCAGGTTCCTAAACAAGGTTTAGTGTTTCTACATACACATGTATATATCTAAATATCAACGTAATGGTTTAAACAAAAAAAAACTATCCAAATTTGTTACGAAATATGTATTGTCACCACATGCAAATCTTGTGGTGCATGGAGGTATTCAAATTTGAACCCCACCCAAAAAATATAATGTTTGGTGAGGTCCAAACTTGAAGATTAAAAAATGTTCTTTGTACATTTTGCCGAAGTATTCAGCAGGCTAAGGAGGATTGGACTTGGCGAACACATTTTAAAGGAATCCCAGTGTCAAAAGAAGGATTTGGAACCCCATTATTTGGGAATGTCTCAAAATAGCGATGCTCGAACATGTTTGTTTTTAACCAAAAAGAATAGGTTTCGAACATCCCTATTTTGAGACATCCCCATTTGTGAAACCTCCTGGTTATAGGATTCCTTTTCAAAAACAGGAATCTGCTCAAAAAAAATGGCAGGCATACCATTGTGTGCAACGAACCTGCACTTGCATATTGTGATTCCTGCATTTCTCTTTCTGC